GCTACTACCCGTGAATAGTAAATATGACTATGGGTTGTATAAAATGTAGTGGAAGCTCGGGGTGTCTCTTATGAGACGCACAGATGTAAACTCTTACTCAAGACCTGGTGAACGTGAGGAGATTGGTGCAGCAACTCGTGAGACCCACGCAGAGCCTGAGTCTAAAAGCAAATTACTAGGTATATTGTGTAGACGCTACTCCAGTTGCAATGACAACAAGACAGTAACTTGAAGAAAGCAAGCTACAACCCGGGGGATCTCAAGCTCGGCACCCACACAAGCACCTTCTCCAACGAACGCCGCGCTCAGCAGTCGGAAATACTGATCGTCAACCGACTACCATCTTACGAGCAGTAGAGAAAAACAACCGTACACTCCGGATTTTGAGGTCGTCAAATAACTGGACTGCTTGGAACAATCTTTTACATCCATCTAGCGCTAACAACTTAGAACTCACCCCTCGGAATCTTCCGAGCCCATTACCCAGTCCAGGTCGGATTCAACAGGCAACGTTCATGGCGACCAAATTTGACAGCATCAGAACTGAGGACATGGTAAGTACTAAGTAATATCCATCGGCCAATATCATGATACCGGCTTTCTTAATAATTCTCCCGCTGACTCTCCAACCCGAGTCAACCCCAACCGACGACATATTTGCGGCGTTCTAAAGGGTACCCCAGAGGACTAGGATCGGCTCTGGAGTTTTCAGGCGTAGATCGAACTCCTGAAGGGGGGGAGAGTTGCGAGTAGCCGGGACAGCAGAAATTTAACCATCGCTGGGCAAAGGACCCATAAGTATCCCTGCCAAGCGTGAAAAGTTGGTCCCTCCTTACTGTCAGAGGCAGCTGAAGCGAATTGATTGATTATTTTTTTTGTATTCTAGCGTTCGGAATCTTCCGACACGCCACCCAGGTTGTCTTTGCCTCATGTGCTTTGGATCCCGTACTCCTCTGGAAACAGCCCTGAAGAAAATTGAAGGGGAGGTTTCAGTCTCGTACAATGCAGGGGGGGGAGTCTTATCATGTACATTCGATGCTTCTTTCAAGCCGGGAAAACGGCCACAGGGAAAGCATCTTGGTTGAACATTCCACACGTCCGCTTCGATATATCGTCGCTATTGAATCGGGTATACGGCTGTCGGTTAGTCCAGAAGTCTCGGGATATGCCAGCTACTCAGACAAAACAGAACGTAAGCACCGACCCGAGCGAATTGAAAGTCGAAGCTGCGAGCGACTTTCCGGATAATGATAACCGACGGGCGTTGAGGGGCGTTCGCAGTTCATCAAGAATTTACATACTCTTTGATGACGGACGACGAGTCGAGGTAACGAATTATGAACTTTTTGCGAATATTTGGTGACAGCGAAAGTAATGAGGTCCACAGACTCGCTGTGAGAGTTTTGAAGGCGAAGAACTGGGATCTGAAGCTGAATCTATTCTCAAACCACTGTGTACTTTGCTCTCGGAATGTGAGCAAGCACAATAGACGGTTGAAGTGGTGTAAGAACAGGCTCGGAATTTTCCGAATGGTGTTTCCCACCCCTCCCCTCACATAGCCTGGGACGTTGACAAAGTCGTACGACCAGATAAAAGCCCAGTAGCGATAGGCACCCGAGTGAGCTCCTCCGATTTTTTTCTAGCCGCTGGCGACTGTCTGCCGGCCAAGATAGAGGCAGCCATCCAGCCGAGGCCGCATGTGGCGTTCCGGCGGTACTAAGGAATTTACATACCCCAGATGATCGACGTTGAAGGTAGGGTCGAGGAGAATGCGAGAGTTTTGACAACGAAAATTCTACTTACAGCAGGGGCCCATAGCTCCGAGTCCAGCGCTCAAGCTCCTGACCGTCGAATGTGGAACGTTGAACACTGGGACCTACTCGCTGTGAGATCCCCACTACATTCTTGAAATGTTAAACGGCCCGGGAACCTGCTAGAATCTGACCTGGCTGTATGAAAGTCGCAATAGGTTGGACACGACTAGACCGGACATATCTCGCTCTATTCCGGCGTTCATCGTGACTAACGCGGTTACTCAACCTTCAGTGGGAGAGAGAAAAGAGCGGACACCGAAACGGTTTAATTAACACTCACTGGCACAATGTGGCGCACTGGGGCGAATTGGACCTGCGAACATGCATACCTTCATGGCCGGTCGACCGGAGATCGAACTAATTTGCGTACTGTTCCCCCTGTCAGTGTCAGTGTGTGTCCATATGTATGGCAGCGTACATACCTTCAGATTCGGAGGCGAGTTTTTTGTTTCGAGTGACGAGTGTGCCGGGTCCGATGTACAAGGCCTGAGGATATTTTGGGAATCGAGAGTGAAGGCAAGAGTGGGATTCAGACTGGAAAGAAGGTATCGATGATGGGGCCAAGTCGACCCGTTGGACTCGGTGGTGCGAACGAGTGAGGGTGATGGCGAAAACATTCTTGTACCTACAGCTCTAAACCTACTCCAACATTCAGCCCCCAGAATTAGCCCTGATCGTTGAACCCTCTCGACGAGTTCGGAGCGATCATTTGCCCCTCGACCCCTTGGTGTCAAACCTTCCGACCGTTCATTGCATCATCGGATGTTGAGGGGTTTTGACGGGCTCGGGGACTTGGAAAAGTCCATAAGCTAGCGGCGTTCGTTAGAGGTCGCAATCAGCCATGAATGAAAAGACATATCTCGTCTCAATGTTTATATTTCCGGCGTTCACTGGCTCGGCAGTATTAGCGGTCACTCATTGAGCTCCCAGAGAAAAGAGCGGACATTGTAATGGTTTCAATCGTTACTCACACTGTGGCGTAGAGATTGAACCCGAGAGCATACATACTTTAAGAACCCGGTCGACCGGGCGATCGAATAATTGCGTACTGGCCCCGACTCGGATGTTCCTCCCCGTCGATGTGTGTCCATATGTATGCCACCATCGATGTACATACCTTCAGAACCGGAGGCGAGTTTCTTGAGGAGTGACGAGTGTGCTGGGCGCAAGGTACAAGCCCTGTATCGAAGAGATTTCGGGATTCGCGGACAACCCTGCACCGGCTTTCGAAATGAGGAGATTGGGACCCGAGCTAGTAAGAGTGTATCGATGACGGGCTTGAAGACCATCACGCGTTGGAGGTCGTTGGTTCGTGTTGGTGAAAGAAAAAGAGTGGGAGACGCGCGCGTGCGTCTGTAGCGGTTATCACTGCACGTGGGTAGACGCGTCTTCGGATCGGAGTCCCGGATCCCGAAATCCGAACCACCACCATGGCATTGACACCAAAATCTACTCCGAGTCTCCATCGATGTCTTCTTCAACCAAAGCATTCCTGATCGTCTTCTCCACTCCAGGAAATCAAGTCACCCAGGACGAATTCCAGGATTGGTACAACAACGAGCACGTCCCACTTCGATTGGATAACCTCGATTTCTTTCTCTCTGGAGCCAGGTTCCGCGATCCTAACCCACCTCAGACCCCTCTCACGACGGACTGGGCGGCGGTGTACGAGATAACGTCTGCACAAGTATTTCAGGAACCGTCGTATACAGGACTCCGGGAGAAACGAAGTGCGAGAGAGGCGAGTGTTATTAAACGGTTGGGTGTTTTGGATCGGAGGACTTTTGGAGTTCTTAACGTTGTTGAGAGAGAAGAAGGCGGAGAGTGGACTGGGCTGAATGTCGGGAATCCAACACAAGGGATCGTGACACACAAATCTACGACTGACAAGGTAGTTGTCGGAGAGAACGTTGAAGGGTGGCAACGGACGTGGATATTGGAGGGGTTGGACTCTGGGGTGACTGTGGAGGGGAAGCAGGTTGAGACTGCAAAAGATTCAGGCGTGTTTGTCGTTCATGGTCTGTTTCTTTTTCCCCCACTTGTTCTCTCGTATCTGACGGTGACGCGTTTAGAATTCGCGTCGTACGATGCTGCACGCGATTTCGCTGGGTCTCTCGGACAGCAAGCACAATACACGGAAGTGAGAAGCTGGGAACTGTATCGTGCTTATCCCTGTATCGCCAGGCCTTGAACTGCTGTATCGATCATCGAATGGAATGGCTATCAGTGTCAACACGTTCATATCACGCAAACATAATCGACCATTGCCTCTTTTACTGTTGCCAACCATGCACGCGTCTATGAATTGAGACATGAATACATGTTTACACTCGGTGAGTCGACGCCTCAACCCGTGCCGCGTTCAATTTCCTTTTTCATTCCGCAAAGCACCGTGTTCCATACCGCTTTCACGGTTCCGGTGTACTGAGGTAAGTATGTCTGTTTTCACCAGATAGATCGGCCGAGTTTGCTTGCCCCCCCAGCGTCACACTCGGGCTTGGAGTATTACATTCTGCCTGACCACACTCTCCAAGTTATGAATGATCCTCGGTAGACTCGTCTTTTGTGTTTACTTCCAACTTCCCTGCTTTCCTTCATTAACCTGGTGGAGGCCTTCGATCCGTGGAGAATGGAAGGACAGGACACGGGACACAGGACAGACGCCCACCGCGTTCTGTTACTCTTTTTTGTTCTGTTGGAGTGTGGCGGCCACCTCATCTCTTTTTGTCAACCTTCAATACGAGCTTACATCCTACTACTACTCATCATGGAGCTATCAGTACAATATACATCGACTTCTGCCGCTGGAATGTGATTGCTACGTTGCTCTTCCATATACATAATGCATCATGATCACTTCCTCGGCACCCAAAGTTCCATTGACGACGAGACGGATTGGTGCCGTCTATTTCTGATTCTATTCCGCCTCCTATCATTGTCAAGCGGGGTCGGTCTTGGCTTATGCGGGAGCGAGTTGGATTTGTTGCGGTCACCATGAATGATAGCTGAGTTACTTACCAGTTAATTGGGAGCTGTGCTCACCGCAATCTCGTTGTTTCAATTTGTCTTCAAAGCTCCCCCACTGGGGGCCTGGGATCTAAAGAGGGACACTGGCAGCAAGAAGAGGAAGAGTGAGAAACTGTCAACTTACCTACATGTCCCAAAAAGATCTACATAGAATCTTGATGCATTAAGAGGGAATCGAACCCCCGGCGGGTCGACGAACCATGCGAGATGTGTGATGGCAACGACCCAGGTTACCACTACCCCATTAATGCGCTGTTGCTTGCTGCTCGTCGAGGCTATGCATTTCCAATGGAAGCGCCGTCTTTTTTACAATTTAAACCATCTTTGTATTTTTAATCAATTCTTTATCCTATATGCCCAAGAAGTCCTTCGAGTCATCATCATCAACGTATGTACGGTATACAAAAAAAGTCATAAGTATAGGTCTTAAAGAGAAAAGGAGTGGTTTATCCAGTGTCAAAGTCCATGTTAGAAGGGGTATGTAATGTAACGTGTTGCTGGGGAATCTAGGCGACGCATGTAGCATGTAATAGGCCAGGTTGTGTGGTGTATGGTGTATGTCGTATAACTCTTTTTGATTTTGTGTTGGGAAGAGTCTAATAGTGGAGCGTTGGGGGTATCGACAAGCGCCTCTGCAACACGCGGGAGTTGTGTGCATGGGGAGAGGGTGGTTGAGGAGTTTTGGTATTCGTCGTCGGCGATGGGAGGATAGTGGGAGGAGCAATCTGCAACGTCTGTGCCCTCAGCCTAACGATAGCTGTGCCATTCCTGACGAGCTCCAGAAGCCGGGGATGGTTGACAACGCCGTTCATGAACAGCCCCGTCGGCATGATACCCTGTCCGTCTTTAGCCAGACAGATCCGTGTCAGCGAAGCACACTGAGCGACGATGAGGAATATATCCGAGAACAACGTCGGGACTGGCGTCCGGAAGGAATGCAGCTTGGGCAACGAAGCAACCGCCCGTGCGAGATGCGTGAGCGGACCAGGTGTCGTCGCCGGCTCGGACATTTTAAAGTCGACGCTGACAACCTCCAACGATCTCCAGTGCTTCTCCACGTTTCCAGCCAGGAGATGGATGAACGATCTGACGTTCGGCATGGAGAGGTAAACCGCCGCGGCCGACTTGCGTATCGTCAACCGGGTGAGGGAGGTGAGCCCCTCGAGCGCCCGTACGAATTCGTCATCAATCTCTTCGTCGACGAGTTCGACGTCTAGTTCTTTCAACTCCTTCCCAGCCGCTTCGAGTATCTGGGTCACATCCTTCCCCCTGGCTCCTCGCAAGACGACCTTTCGAATCAACGACGCATGTTTGAGCGGTATCTCTTTCCCCGTCGGTAGCGTAACAGTGTGGTACACATGCGGCAGTCCAATCCTACACAACGCCTTGGATGCCAATAAGACGTTCGTCCCAACTGGTGAAGAGAATTGGAGGATGCTGTCTGTGATTTCTTCTGGGAGAGCGAGCATTGTAAAGTTGTTGGTTGAGTTGAGGGGGGAGAAGGTTTTTCGAGTTTCAGTTGATGAAGCTGGGTCTATTTAATTAATATGTACGTCTCGAACAGATCGACGGATTTGGCGTCTTCGGCCCATGATAGTGGTACCCTTCGGCTATCGGAGTTTCTGATCTCTCGTTTCTCCTTTTGGAACTCCCCTTCGATGGTATCTCCGCTTCGGGAACCGTTCACGTTATTATAACGGCTCGTTGCCAGGCCCATTACTCTCCTCAGAGAGAGGGCTGGAACCTGAAAGGACCTACTTATTACTTTCTTCATAATTGTTTACCCTCTCACTCTCATTCTCTCACTCCCTCACAGCTATGCACCTCGGATCACCTCCCAATATTGCGCAAACATTCCTGTCATCTTTCTTCCGACATAAGCGATGTTGTATTTTTTTTCTCTTTTACTTCTTCGCGTGCCTTGCCTTGGAAACACATACCTAACATCCCATCCCCGCCCTCCGCTTCTCCGCCGACGATCAAGAGACGAATGACGCTTAACCATTCCACAGTAGCCCATCCCTGATCCTTTGTCCCTCGCCTCGCCTCGCCTCGCGGTGTCACCCGGTGTAAATTTTTTATCCTCGAGTCGAAGTCTCGTACTCGTACTCAGAGTTCGACGTTGACAGTCAAGACGAACGAGAATCTTCTTCGGGACGTAATAACAAACAAGACATACAGGAACTATTATTATTATAGGTACCCTCCCGGGCCCGCGCACCGCGACCGCGTTGATTCGACACCATAATGAAAAAACCGTCCCCCTTGAAACCCTTCCTTACTGAATCAGTAGTACTAGATGCCGGTCTCCTAACTGACTCGGAAAAGAAAATTTTCTGGGGCCCGCGTCACAAGTCAAAGCTACCAAGACCGCTGCCCCGAACCCTCGCGATTTCCGAAATCTGCCCAACCCAACCCACCCCTGGACACCCAACACATAACATTGTACAGCGCTGCGCCTCTTGAACGCCGCAATGATAAGTATAGTCACTACGTCGGGGGGGCCGTGAGGATGAGGAATTAGCACTAGTACAAGAAAGGAGGCTATCATTCCAAAGTACTTTTGCAATTGCACAGGCATTATAATACGAGTCGGGCTTGTACGGTGGGCCACCCCGCTGACTTGAACTGGCAGTACTAAGCACTGAGCAGCAGATGTACTTATGGGCGTAAAAAAAGCACAGGACACGGCCCAGTGCCACGGGCATAGCGGCAACAAGTGTCCTTTTCGTCATCAAACATCATGATCCACAGTCCAAAAGATTTGGAGCCACAATGTTCTAACGACATCCCACACTTTCGAGCCTCGATCGTCGCTGGAAAGGAACAGACCATTCCACCCCCTTCACTCGGTACTCAGGAGTGGTCAAGAATCAAACACTTGATACGGTATAGGCTATAGCTATTTCCGTCACCAACTGACCAGATGCGCAGTAGCTATCCACACCAGTCGGCGAAACGCACCAGAGGAACTTGTGGTGGACAAACTTGATGCGGTGTAGGCTCCTGGCTCCGCCGAGCAGCGAGGTTATTCTCCAAAACTCCAATCAATACTCAATACTCAATACTCAAAACAAAAATCAATTTCGCCAATGGACAATGTACAATGAGGGTTTTTAGAGTTCCGAACTACTGCTATACGGCGTACGGAGATCAGACCCTCGAGCAATATCAATCACTCGGATGTTGCACACACACACACACGGAGATTACATCGAACACACCCCATACTTCCCACTCTCCATTCCTTCGAGCAGGGCTGTATAACGTTTAGCTCTAGAGCCCATAACCCAGCGGCAGGATCCGAGGGTGTGTGTGTTCGATGTAACGTTCTCGATCAGCAAACCATCACAGCCAGCTAGCTGTAGTCATGAAAGGGGGAACTCACCATTTACTTAATAGCGCGATGAGTTACTTGGTCGAGTGGAGATATCAGGCCGCCGGTGCAAGTTAGATACTCCAAGCTCAAGCTAAAATCACCACAGCTAGCGATGACTGGTTTTCAAAGTCCCCAAGTTCCAAGTTCCGAGCGTTTTTAATGTACGGAACCACACCTACCAACAACAGCAGTTTTAATAATACGAAGACAGATCGAAAAAAAACATCACCTCGGATATTACGAACACACCCTACCCACCTAAACCCCAACTTCCACATCTCCATTCCTTCCGTGCAGAGTGGAAGGAGATCGAGCGTCCTATACCATCTACGGTCTAGATTCAGAAATCATCCGAGGTGAACGCGGCCCCGTTGGCAGTGTGCACCTTTTACATTCTCGAAATCATTACGACTGTTAAACGTCTGTACGGAACGAATTTGTCGCCAAGCCTACAGAGGTGGTAGTAACAGCAGTGATAGCGGATGATTGACAGAAAAATGTACCTGAAAATCCCCTCTGAACTCTCAGAGTTTGGTCCATGAACAATAACAATAAAAAAAAATGCGCACCTCTCAAGGAAAGAAAAGCGTGCAACGACGAAATCGTAGCTGGGCCTGTCAAGTCCTACTAGCGCAATCAAATGATGTGAGATGTACCCTGAAAATCACAGCTCTGACTCTGAAGAGCTCCTGACAGAAAAAAAAGAAAAAAAAAGAGGTTAGAGCGCACGCGTCAAAGGCCAAGAGAGTCGAACAAAAAAAGAAAAGCGTGGAACGGCCACGCGCTGCGTCCTGTCCATTCCATTCCAATCACCAATCGTCGTCGAGTTTGTTGAGGAAACAAGAAAACAAAAGCACGAGGCTCACACTGGCAGTGATACAAAAAGACTAACTGTGTGTTGGACTAGGACTTCTGAGAGTTCAAGATTGAGATGTGTAGGTGTGAATTATGCATCGAGATAGACCAAGTAGCTCTTCCTCGTCAGTGACATTCTAGATATTGGCGTGATTAGCCACATGCAAAAAAAGAAAGAATAATGAGCAACGCGGTGCTTCGAGTCAGTGCAGTACTGGATAGTCTCGTTCCCAGACGCCAGAACCAATCTTGGCGTAGTAGCAGTGATGTGGAATGGAACTCTGAAGAACGCAAAGCTCGAACAAAAGAATTGAAAGAGTACCATACCTTGAACAGAACAAAAGAAAATTCAACGCAGCGGGCGTCTGTTCCGTGTTCGCCTTCCATTCTCCGCGGGAGGGTGCTCTCCACAAGAAATGAAGGTAGAGAAATAAGAAACAAAAAGACCTTTCCCGGTTGTCTGGGAACCAGGAAATTAGTGTGGGCGAGCGTATCGAACGAAAAAACGAACCACGCCTATCACGCTGTCGCAGGGTTTGTTCTTATTCACCACTTCATGTGCAGATAAAAAGGGGCAGAATAAGCCTGCGAACTTGGGGCTCCTGCTAGGAACAGAACGAAAGGGAACTGAATTGTGTGCACAGGTGAATAAGGAATCAGCAAAAAGGGAGATGATAGATCGACTCACCGACTGTGAATTCATTCCTCTTCGTGTCTCGATGTGTAGTGAGTAAGAGCGAAGAGCTCACGGATCAAGACCCTTTGAGGGAATGCAGATTTCATGGCGTCGGGGAACGAAGGCGTTGGGACTGGTAGCCTGTGCTTTTGATTGTATAACGTATTCCATTCGGCGATCGATACAACATCTCAAGGCCTGGCGATACAGGGATAAGCACGATACAGTTCCCAGCTTCTCACTTCCGTGTATTGTTCTTGCGGCTGAAGCGTTCCAGCGAAATCGTGTGCAGCATCGCACGATGTGAATTCTAAACGCGTCATCATCAGATACGAGAGATC